AATCAATCAAAATCCGATGGGTTTTTCTTGTTTTTCCACTAAACAAAGTACTAGTATTTAACTTAAAAAGGAAAAAAGGAACAAACACAAATATTCAAAATAAGAAGTGAGGCCGGGCACAGTGGCTCACGCCTATAATCTCAGCACTGTGGGAGGCTGAGGCGGGAGGATCACTTGGGCCCAGGAGTTTGAGACCAGCCTGGGCAACACAGTGAGACACTGTCTCTATTTTTTTTAACATAAGAAATTTTTTAAAATATAAGAAATGAGATCCAGCAATTCCACTACTGGTTATTTATCCTAAAGAAAGAAAACCAGTATACCAAAGAGATGTCTACACCCTCTTGTTATTGCAGCACTATTCACAGTAGCCTAGATAGAGAATCAACCGAGTCCATGAGTGGATGAATGAAGAAAGAAGGCTTTATATACACAATGGAATATTATTCAGACATAAAGAATGAAATCTGATCATTTGTGGCAACATGAATCAGCGTGGGAGAGACTATGTTCAGTAAAATAAACCAGACAGAAAAGAAAGACAAATGCCAGCCAGTGTGGTGACTCACACTTGTAATCCCAACACTCTGGGAGGCCAAGGTGAGAGGATCACTTGAGCCCAGGAGTTCCAAACCAGCCTGGTCAGTATAGCAAGACCCCGTCTCTACAAAAAAATAAAAAATTAGTCAGGTGTGGTGGTAGGTGCCTGCAGTCCCGGCTATTCAGGAGGCTGAGATGGGAGGATCACTTGAGCCTAGGAATTGGAGGCTGCAGGAGCCAAGATTATGCCACCACACTCCAGCCTGGGTGACAGAACGAGACCCTGTCTCAAAAACCAAACAAACAAGACTACATGACTACGTGATCTCACCCATTTACAGGATTTTTAAAGCTCATGTCAAGCATGTCAAGGAAAAGAGTGGGTATCAGAGGTTCGGGGTGGGGAGGTAGTGGGAGAGACTGGTCAATAGGTATAAAATGACAGATCGAAGAAAGAAGTTCTGGTGTTCACAGCAGAGTGACTATACGGAACAACAGTGTATACCTCAAAACAGCTACTAGAAGACAGAAATGTTCTCACCTCAAAGAAATGATAAATATTTGAGGTGATGGATAAACCAATTACCCTAATTTGATCATTACACAGTGTATACATGTATCAAAACATCACACACTGTACCCCATAAATATGGAGTTATTTTGTGTCAATTAAAAATGAGATAAATATTTTCCAGGTCAGGTGCAGTAGTTCATGCCTGTAGTCCCAGCACTTTGGGAGGCTGAGGCTGGTGGATTGCCTGAGTTCAGGACTCTTGAGACCAGCCTGGTCAACTTGGCAAAACCACCTCTCTACAAAAAATACAAACATAAGCTGGGCATGGTAGAGTGCACCTACAGTCCCAGCTACTCGTGGAGCTGAGGTGGAAGGATTGCTTTGCACCTGGGAGGCAGAGGTTGCAGTGGGTCGAGACTGGGTCACTGAACTCCAGCCTGGGTGACAAAGGAGACCCTGTCACAAAAAATAAATCAGTATTTTCCATGCTAAAAAAATAATAACAGGAGAAAATAACCATTGAAACGGAATATTTCATCTTGTTTTATTTTATCTATTTACTTTTTTTGAGATGGAGTCTCTCTCTGTCGCCAAGCTGGAGTGCAGTGGCATGATTTTGGCTCACTGCAAGCTCCGCCTCCTGGGTTCAAGTGATTCTCCTACCTCAGCCTCCAGAGTAGCTGGCGCACACCACCACACCGGCTTATTTTTGTATTTTTAGTGGAGATGAGGTTTCACCATGTTGGCCAGGCTAGTCTTGAACTCCTGACCTCAAGTGATCTGCCTGCCTCGGCCTCCCAAAATGCTGAGATTACAGGCGTGAGCCACTGCACCCAGCCTGAAACAGAATTTTTTTTTTTTGAGGCGGAGTTTCGCTCTTGTTGCCCAGGCTGGAGTGCAATGGCGCAATCTCAGCTCACCACAACCTCCGCCTCCCAGGTTCAAGCGATTCTCCTGCCTCAGCCTCCCAAGTAGGTGGCATTACAGGCACGCACCACCACACCCGGCTAATTTTGTATTTTTAGTAGACAAGGGGTTTCTCCATGTTGAGCAGGCTGGTCTCGAACTCCTGACCTCAGGTGATCCACCCGCCTTGGCCTCACAAAGTGCTGGGATTACAGGCGTGAGCCCCCACACCTGGCCCTGAAACAGAATATTTTAAAAGGAAAAAAAAATTGGCCGGGGGCAGTAGCTCACGCCTATAATCCCAGCACTTTGGGAGGCCCAGGTGGGCAGACCACCTGAGGTCGGGAGTTTGAGACCAGCCTGGCCAACATGGAGACACCCTGTCTCTACCAAAAATACAAAATTATCTGGGCGTGATGGCACATGCCTGTAATCCCATCTACTCGGGGAGGCTGAGGCAGGAGAATCACTTGAACCCGGGAGGCGGAGGTTGTGGTGAGCCAAGATCAAGCCATTGCACTCCAGCCTGGGCAACAAGAGCGAAACTCCGCCTCAAAAAAAAAAAAAGCCAGGCGCGGTGGCTCACACCTGTAATCCCAGCACTATGGGAGGCCGAGGCAGGTGGATCACAAGATCAGGAGATCGAGACGTCCTGGCTAACATGGCAAAACCCCGTCTCTACTAAAAATACAAAAAAATTAGGTGGGCGAGGTGGCGGGCGCCTGTAATCCCAGCTACTCAGGAGGCTGAGGCAGGAGAATGGCGTGAACCCTGGAGGCGGAGCTTGCGCCACTGCACTCCAGCCTGGGTGACAGAGTGAGACTCCATCTCAAAAAAAAAAAAAAAAAAAAGGAGAAAAAAACTATCTTGTACACCTCTGCAAATAAAAAACTATTATCAAGGAACCACCTCACAGCAAGAGACCAGATGGTTTCATGGGAGGATTCTATCAAAACTTCTAAGACCACGTAGCACTAATGCTACATGTATTGTCCTACAACACAGAAAAGGAAGGAAAACTTCCAAATTATTTTTATGAAGTATAACATTGATACCCGTACCTGATAAAGATAGAACAAAAATAGAAAATTATAGACCACGCCGGGGGCGGTGGCTCACGCATGTAATCCCAGCACTGCTGAGGCAGGTGGATCACTAGAGGTCAGGAGTTTGAGACCAGCCTGGCCAACATGGTGAAGCCCCGTCTCTACCAAAAATACAAAAATTAGCTGGGTGTAGTGGTGCATGACTGTGATCCCCGCTACTTGGGAGGCTGAGGCAGGAGAATCGCTTGAACCCAGGCGGCAGAGGTTGCAGTGAACTGAGATCTTGCCACTGCACTCCAGCCTGGGCAACACAGCAAGACTCCATTTCAAAAACAAAAAAAAAGAAGAAAGAAAACTATAGACCAATATCACTTATGACTCAGTATCCATTGAGAAATACTAAATATTAATAAACAGAATTCAAAAACACATTAAAATAATACAACATGTGTGATTTATGCCAAGAATGTAAAGTTGATTCGTTATTAGGAGGTTCATGAAGACAAGCTACCATATGAAAATTCACAGTCGTCTCCAAAGATATGGAAACAAAATTCAATAGTTACTCCAGTAAAACACCACTCAAGAATACAAGAACTGATGAATACTTTGTCAATATGCTAAAATAACATATACCTTCCCTCTCACATAATGAGGCGTTTCCACTAAGATCAGGACCAAGGTGAGGAGGCGCACTATCTCCACTATACTGAACAATGGGCTAGAGGTGTCAGCAACTAAACAAAGAACAATGCAATTCAACAAAGGCAGAGTCATAAGAATCAGCAGGTAGCAGTGTATTCATCGATACTTAAAGATTATATGTTAGTAAGCCTGTAAAGCCCTAAAGAATCAGTAACAAAACTAACCTGAACAATACAAGAATTCTGTAAGGTAGCAGAATATAAAATTAGTTTGCAGGGCCGGGCGCAGTGGCTCACACCTGTAATCCCAGCACCGTGGAAGGCCGAGGCTGGTGGATCACCTGAGGTCACGAGTTTGAGACCAGCCTGACCAACATGGAGAAATCCCATCTCTACTAAAAATACAAAAAATTAGCCACGCATGGCGATGCACGCCTGTAATCCCAGCTGCTTTGGAGGCTGAGGCAGGAGAATTGCTTGAACCTGGAAGGCGGAGGCTGCGGTGAGGCGAGATTGCACCACTGCACTCCAGCCTGAGCAACAAGAGCGAAACTCCCATCTCAAAAAAAAAAAAAAAAAAGTTTGCAGAAATCCATTGCCTTCAAATGCACTGACAATATGCAGTTAAACGATATAATGACACCACTAAAGAACTTATTCACATATCCAACCACCACCTGTTCCCCAAAAACCTACTGAAATAAAAAATAAATAGCACTGAATAATTAACACCCTGAGATTTGGGGGGAAAAAAGGGATATAATGGTAGGGAAAATCCCATTACAATAGGAAAAAAGATGATCAAACACTTAGGAACAAACTAGTCATATGCAAAATATAGATGAAGAAAAATTTAAAACCCTCCTGTAAGACCCAAAAGTACACTGGAACAAGAAGACATCCCTTGTTCTTAGACAGGACAACTCAACACCACAAAGATATAGTTAATTTATACACTGTCACAATCTCAATAAAAATATCAATGCTGTTTTTAAGGAGCTAGACAAGTTGATATTCAAGTTCATACAGAAAAATGAATAAGCCATAGCCCAGGAAACAGTGAAAACAGAAAACTAAGGGGGCCTGCCCCGACTCGGTAGTCAAGCATACTACAGAACGCCTCTACAGTCACGACAGCCTGGTTTTGTGCCACTCTCCATCATAACCATCCTTCTCTCCTGTTAGAGCAGCGGCCTCAACCTTGACATGGAAGCAGCTGGGGGAGGCAAACCCAAATCTCAGAGGAGAAGGTGGGAGCCAGAGAAGAGGGGGACATCTTTCTCTGCCAGGTCACCTGAAACTGAAGACAACCAGAGACCCCAGCAGGGCACGGCTGGCAGGTGTGGGTACCTGGGCTCCGATAGAGGCTCTTGGGCAGAGAGGGCGAGTGAGTATCCATCAAGGCCACGATCTTCATGTGTCCGTACTGCTTGGCCAGCATCCGAGCTGTGGCTCCACTGTGGTCTCTCGCATCCACCTTGACTCCCTGCGAATGTCCGTGAAAGGGGGTTAGGAGCCTCTCCTTCAAAGTGCCTGCCCTTCCTGGGCTGCTGGCTGGGAAGAGAGAAGGGCATATGCTGGTGTCTGACTGCCTCCCTGCATGGGAAACATCACATCTGCATGAGAAAAAGGCAGGCTTGTCTGCATCGTAGCCACAAGTTTTGCTCTCACTCTCTTTTTAGTGACAAGCATGAGGGGGGCTGGGGTTGGGGAGTCATCTCCCAGCTGTGGCAGCTCTCGGCTTCCCACTGCTGCCCGCCACACTCATGACCTCCCTTGCAGGGGGCTGGCAGCCACCATGGGGAGAGCCCAGCCTTCACCTTCTGCGCCTGGGCTGTGTCCCACTCGCTTTGCTTGTCTTCACTCAAAGAAAGCTGGACACAGCAGTTCACAATGAAAGCAGCCTTTTTAACCAGTCAGAATGAAAGCACCATCCTCTGAAGCAGAATTCATCACTTTGATCAAAAGCTCTATAATGTATTTACAGGTCTTGTGGTGCAGCAATTCCACTTCCATGACCCTAAGGAAATAACCCTAAATACAGAGAACGCTTTAGTGTGCAAAGGCGTTTGGCACAGGCCGGGTACGGTGGTTCACGCCTGTAATCCCAGCACTTTGGGAGGCCGAGGTGGGTGGATCACAAGGTCAGGAGATCTAGGCCATCCTGGCCAACATGGTGAAACCCCTTCTACTAAAAATACAAAAAATTAACTGGTGTGGTGGCGAATGCCTAAAGTCCCAGCTACTCGGGAGGCTGAGGCAGGAGAATCGCTTGAACCCGGGAAGCAGGCAGAGGTTGCAGTGAGCCGAGATCGTGCCACTGCACTACTCCAGCCTGATGACAGAGTGAGACTCTGTCTCAAAAAAAAAAAAAAGTTTGGCATAACATATTCACAATAATGAAAACCTACCTAGAGACAACTTGAATGCTCAGGGGGACAAGGAGCCAGTTATGTTATTGCCATAGATGATGAGATTTACAAACGGCTGTATGATCAAGTTGAAAAAGGATCATGGCCAAGTGAGGTGGCTCATGCCTGTAATCCTAGTATTTGGGAGGCCAAGGCAGGTGGATCGCTCGAGCTCAGGAGTTGGAGAACAACCTGGGCAACACACTGTGACCCCACCTCTACAAGAAAAAACAACAAACTCTAATCAATACAGCATGTTTCTGGTGTTGCTCTACACCGTAACTGTCCTTCTCTCCTGTTAGACCAGGCAACTGGGGTAGGCAGGGAAGCCAGAGCCCAATCCCAGAGGACGAGGTGGGACCCCAGAAAGGGGGGGCATCTTTAATAAAAATGAGCAGGGTATGGCGGCACACGCCTGTGGTCCCAGCTACTCAGGAGGCTGAGGCGGGAGGATCCCTTAAGTCCCAGAGGTGGATGCTGCAGTGAGCTGAGATCACGCCACTGCACTCCAGCCTGAGCAATAGGGCAAGACCTTGTCTCAAAAAAAATAAAAAAGGATCATGGTACAAAACTACATATACATTACAACTCCTGCAAAATGAGACAAAAAATAAAAGTACACAGAAAACAGTATTGGACGGTAACATACCCAAAAGGTTGCTATTTTTAAGTTATTTATTATTTTTGATGGAGATTTTTCCAATTGTCCAATCTTCTATGTTTTTAAAATGTACTATCATAAGCATGTTTGCTTTTTTTTTTTTTTTTTGAGATAGGATCTTGCTCTGTTACCCAGGCTGAAGTACAGCGGCGCCTAAGGAAATAATGCAGGACATACACTACAATTTAGAATTTTCACTGTGGCATTCAGCATAGTAAGAATCAGAAAGAATCTAAAATAAGAGATTAGTGAGCTACATGAGAGCATATCCAGAAAACAGAGCGCGTCCCGCCCATTTACGTGGTAGGTGGGAGTACCTGCAGTGACACAGACTAGGGTGCACAAAACATCATTAAGAGAAAAACGCAGGGCCGGGCAAGGTGGCTCACGCCTGTAATCCCAGCACTTTGGGAGGCCAAAGTGGGCGAAGCACAAGGTCAAGAGTTCGAGACCAGCCTGGCCAACATGGTGAAACCTCGTCTCTACTAAAAATACAGAAAAAAATTAGCTGGGCATGGTGGCAAGTCCCTGTAGTCCCAGCTACTCCAAGAGGCTGAGGCAGGAGAATCACTTGAACCCAGGAGGTGGAGGTTGCAGTGAGCCAAGATCACGTCACTGCAGTCCAGCCTGGGCGACAGAGGGAGACTCCATCTCAAAAAAAAAAGAATCACAACCCTTAAGTAGTTTTGCTTCCACCCATACTGCAACTGTCTCTCCCATTAGACCAGGGGGGCCTCAACCTTGACCCCCACATGGAGTCAGTGGGGGAGGCAGAGGTGGTCTCTGAGCAGGGATACAGGAAAAAACTGTTTTCACAAAGCATAAGCAGTTTTACTTTCTAGACTGCCCTCCATCCTACTTTTGACTCTGGTTAAAAATTACCTATGAAACTTTCAGCCTTAAAAAATAATTTATAGGCCGGGCACGGTGGCTCACGCCTGTAATCCCAACACTTTGGGGGAACAAGGAGGGCAGATCACAGCTCATGAGTTCGAGACCAGCCTGGCCAATGTGGTGAAACCCTGACTCTACTAAAAAATACAAAAATTAGCCGAGCGTGGTGGTGCATGCCTGTAATCCCAGCTACTCAGGAGGCTGAGGGAGGAGAATTGCATGAATCCAGGAGGCAGAGGTTGCAGTGAGCTGAGATCGTGCCACTGCACTACAGCCTGGGCGACAGAGTGAGATTCTGTCCAAAAAAATAATAAATAAATAAATAATAATACTTTATAAGCTAGGCACAGTGGCTCAAGCCTGTAATCCCAGTACTTTGGGAGGCTGAGATGGGTGGATCACTTGAGGTCAGGAGTTCAAGACCAGCCTGGCCAACGTGGTAGAACCCCATCTCTACTAAAAATACAAAAAGTAGCCAGGTGTGGTGGTGCACGTCTGTAGTCCTAGCTACTCAGGAAGCTGAAGAAAGAGAATCGCTTGAGCCCAGGAGGTGGAGGTTGCAGTGAGCCAACATCACGCCACTGCACTCCAGCCTGGGCAACAGACGAAGCAAGACTGTCTCAAAAATAAAAAATAAAAATAAAAAATAATTTCTTGGCTGGGCAGAGGCTCACACCGGTAATCCCAGCACTTTGGGAGGCTGAGGTGGGCGGATCACTTGAGGTCAGGAGTTTGAGACCAGCCTGGCCAACAACCAACCTGGTCAGGAGTTTGAGGCCAGCCTGTATCTACTAAAAACACAAAAATTAGCTGGGAGTGGTGGCACGCACCTGTAATCCCAGCTACTCGGGAGGCTGAGGCAGGAGAATCACTTGAACACGGGAGGCAGAGATTGCAATGAGCCACTGCACTCCAGCCTGGGAGACAGAGGGAGACTCCATCTCAAAAAAAAAAAAAAAAAAAAAAAATTCTTGTTTAAGTTTGATAGAACGAACCCTAAGGTTTTAACCAGAATAAAACAGTAGCCTCTTTACTGTAGGATTTTAACTCATTATGTATTTTCGGTTTTGTTTTTGAGGCAGAATCTCACCCTGTGGCCCGGGCTGGATTACATTGGCTCACTGCAACCCTGACCTCCGCAGCTCAAGTGATCCTCCCATCTCAGCCTCCCTGGGATTACAAACACACACCACGACTGGCTAATTTTTTTTTTTTTTTGAGACGGAGTTTTGCTGTGTCACCCAGGCTGGGGTGCAATGCCATGATCTCGGCTCACTGTAACCTCTGCCTCCCGGGTTCAAGTGATTCTCCTGCCTCAGCCTCCCAAGTAGCTGGGATTATAAGCACCTGCCATCATGCCCAGCTAATTTTTGTACTTTTAGTAGAGATGGGGATTCACCATGCTGACCAGGCTCATCTTGAAATCCTGACCTCAGGTGATCCGCCTGCCTTGGCGTCCCAAAGTGCTGGGATTATAGGCATGAGCCAACGTGCCCAGCCAATCTTTTTTTTGTTTTGTTTTTTAATGTGGAGACAAGGTCTCACTGTATTGCCTAGACTGGTCTCCAACTCCCAGCCTCAAGCAATCCTCCCATTTTGGCCTCCAAAAGTGCTGGGATTACTGGCATGAGCCACTGTGCCTGACATGAAAATAAATTTTTATCTACTTATGCTTTAAAAGATTTTTTTCCTATTTTATAATGTCCATATTACTAAAGAGACACATGATCAAAATTCATTTTAACATGAAGGTGGGATCAGAGAGTTTAGAAACCCTGGAACAAGACTATCCAGAAGGCACAAATCAACTTTCTCTTAAAGAGAGGCCCACAAAGATCCATATCCTCTTCTCCTGACTGAGCTGCTGGGGCTAGGCACCACTGGCAGAAGGGAAACGGGGGACAAGGAAAGCAGCCACAGCCCTTTCTTCCCCTAGCAAAGAGCACAGGATGCCCAGCCTTGCCCAGTTCTCCACCTCCAGAAATGGAGCCCAGCTCTGGAGGGGCAGGTTGGGAAACCGGGTGGGCCCCCTCCTCTGGCTCCAGGTGTTCTAACAACTGGGTGGCAGGAAGAATGTGGGAGAGAAGAGCTTCCAGGCAAGGCTTGCCCACCAGCCTCCCCGGCAGACAAACCACCCAGGCCATCAGGCCACCTGCCGCCAGTCCTGCCCCATCCCACCAAGCAATCACTAACCAACACTTTGATTCTTGATTAAAGTGCTGGAGGAAGAACTCAGTGTTGAGTTCCTGAGTTTGATAAGTTTGTGTGACTGGGAAAGAGAACATTTTTGCTTTTAGGAAATACATATTTAGGGGGAAAGGGGCATTATGTCACAATTTACATTTAAATGACTCAAAAACATATGCACTTTATATATAAAGAGACTGATAAGAAAATGAGGTGAAATGTTAACGTTTGGGGAATCTGGTAAAAACATGCAAATTGTTGGCCAAGCACCGCGGCTCCTGCCTGTAATCCCAGCACTTTGGGAGGCCAAGGTGGGAGGACCACTTGCAGCCA